TGTCTGTTGTGATTTGTTTATCACTGACCCTCCCTCCCCAGGCACAAGATATGTAAGTGACATAACCTTGGGGTGTTACACCAATCAGAAATTTGACTGTATGGTGATGCTTGTAGTTGGACCATGCCTGTGCTTGGGCAAGTAAATTAGAGGGCCTCTCAATAAAAACTTCAAAACAGTCAATTATTATAGATACTCTAGACCCAAATGCCTCCCTGAATGCCACTGGCATTGTAGCTTGAAGTACATGTCGCTCTGGCCACTCCATTTGGGATTCCAATCTTTCATGAAGTATGTCAATAACTTTATGCCAAACTCTAGAAGCAGTGGACAGAGAGATCTTGAACCTGAAAGCTAAATCTTTGAGTGGGAGATTTAGTCTCAGCCTCATCAAAACTAAAATGAGCTGTTCAAATTTAGACAGCACAGACACAGAGCTACAGGTGATGTAGGGCTCGCACAGCTGAAAAATCTGCATTAAAACTAAGAAGTTGGGGAGCCCCGTGTAGAACTTAGTTTTATCTTCATTTTCTTTAAAGGACTCCTGGCTGAACTGTGTGTCCACTGCCTTGCTGCGAAGATCTCCCAGCTCTACAGTGTTTTGTCTAAGAACATCCTCCATCTTCTCGAGGTCATCCATTATTAGATTAGTCTGGCATCCAGCATCTGCATAGCCTGCAAAAAAGCAGTGCAGGAGAATATTTAACTCATTTATGAATATGGTTTTGAGTTATCTTTGACAACCTTGTTCCAAACATGCAAGTTCTCTGCTCCAATATACAAACTTTCTACAGTCTCCATAATTTAAAAATATATGTATATTACAAACAGTTGAGGTACACTTACAAATTGCAACTCTGACAGGCACTTGAACCAAATGATATATCAATACATTACACGAGACACAAAACTCTGTACAATTTAATACATCTGTGCATATTACAAAATGAGGACTAGATATTTTAGGGACTTCATGGACATTCTGCAGGTTGTTATTTTTATACACTACCTAACCCACAGGTGCACACCTGTCATATACTAGGGAATATGTGGCCTGTTTATTAGGGAAGAATCTATGGGGAAGGAAGAATATCAGGGTCTATTTTGAAAACCTGAGGTTTGCATAGATTTTATGACAATCACATGAGTAATACAGTAATAATGCTGGTTGAACATCTTAGTACAATATTTCACCTTGATAATTTAATGTCCCGTTCTCACTAAGGCCCTTTGATTGTGGGTCGTCATCTGGCTGGTTTGATTCGGGGCTGTCGGCTGTCTGATCTGAGCTCATACCGGGGCTCTCGGGTATCTGTTGGAGATCCAAAATAGCCTCTGCACATTCCAACCATCTTTGATGGTCTTCTTTGCACTTCATCCTCTGCTCTTGATGGAGAGATGCCTCTGTCTCTGATTTGGGCTTCGTTTTTTGGTGGCCGAGGTTAACGGTCGGAGCCCAGTCTACTGACTCAGTGTCATCCAAAGCGCTCGGGCAGCCTACAAAACAAAGCCCAATAAAGTCCATATTACACTTCTGTAAATGAGCATTTAACGATAACCTACTGCTATATAGCACAACCACAAAAACAATTTAGCTTTATAACATACCTTTGACAGTGTTGGGGAGTAACAGATTACATGTACTGGAGTTACGTAATCAGAGTACAAATTATGAGTAACTGTATTCAGTTACAGTTACTGTTTCAGTGAGTGATAATTGGATTACAGTTACTTTGTTGAAATAAATGGATTACACTGCGGTATTTTCCTGTTTTCACATTTGGGGCTACATCCCCTTTTTTTTTTTTTTTCCTCTCGGTAATTCCACTCATTGTTGGACACTAAACCAGGACTAAACCAGGACTAAACCAGGACTAAAACCAGGTCTAAACCAGATCTAAACCAGGACTAAAACCAGGTCTAAACCATGTCTACAACAGGATTTAACAGGACTAAACCATGTTGCGTGGACCGTGCCTCTTCTATCAATAATATTTTTTATTTGGTTAAGTAAAGACTCTGCCTTTTCAATTTTTTTAGCAGACAAAACATCTTATGTTATGATATCCTAGTCTTTGCTTCTCTACAGCAAATCAAGTAATCCAAAGTATTCAGATTACGTTACTCACTTTAAGTAATTTAATGGATTGCGTTACAAACTATATTTTGGGGTATGTAATCTGTAATCTGTAGGGGAATACATTTTAAAAGTAACCTTCCCAACACTGACCTTTGACGAAGTGGTCACTGCAGATACGAGCATTTGGAGACTCCGCTGCGCCCGGCCGCAGACGGAGGTTTGCGATCCACATTTTACGGCGCCGTTCTGTGAGATTTTCCCATTTCTGACCTCTGTGGACGACTACCTTCGGTACTCTAAAAAATCGCTTGCCCTTCTCTCGGTTTGAACGATTGGCACAGCCGTAAACTACACAAAACATAGGCATTTTCTAGACAAAAAGACGCTCAGTGTTTGACGAGTTTCCTCCAGCTGGTTCACTTCCTGCCCTCCATCTGAGAGCGCGCTCTGACTCACGTAGCCCTGTGACGTCACGTATCTCTTGCTCTTTTTTGCTACTTATTTATAATTTATTATCGCCATTTATATTTTTTGCTCTTTGTTATTATATTAAATTGTGATGTGTGAGCTACTGTGTCCAAATAATTTCTAATTTAATCTAATTTTTCGTGTTCACTGTGTCCTAAACAAAGACGATGCACCCTCTTCCCCCCCCCCCCCGTCTTCAACCATGGTCATTGCTTTGTTTATAAGGACTGGGCGTGACCGTATGAGCCAGTTGGTTCCATAGTGTAGCGGTTATCACGTCTGCTTTACACGCAGAAGGTCCTGGGTTCGAGCCCCAGTGGAACCAAGATTTTTCTTTTCTTTTATTAATTATTATTATTTTTTTGTTAATTTTAAAATTTATGTGTAAATAAAATAGAATATGAACAGAAGAGGTTCACGTGTTCTCGTAATATCGGCACACTGTAGAATCTAACTTAAAACTAATTTGGAGGACAGATCAGAATTATATAGTGTATTTTGTTAGGTTAGATTTGTTGACATGGTTTGTAGTAAATTTCTCTGTAATTACTGGGCCTAGCCACGTGAAACACAAACTGGCACAAACATTAACGTCTTATTTATCAGTAGAAATACACAAAAAGGCAAATTATTCTTCAAAAATAATGACACATCACTTTCAAAAACAGTAAATCTCTCATTGAGTTATATAGGCCTTTGTCCTCCATCAAGTCAAATTAATCAATCAGTCAATCAACAACTTTATTAATCCCAAAGGGTAATTCAGTTCGCGCATCTCTGGTCGTGCACAATCGATAAATAATAAAAGAAAAAGAAAAACAGACGCCATGCATTCAAACCTCAGTGCACCAGGGACACAATAGCAAATTTACTTTCTTTTTTTTTGGAATATGAAAGAGGATCCCATTGTCCATCCCTGAGTCAAATTTCATGGGGTTTGGTCAATAATTAACCGAGATATTGAGAAACAAAATTTTTGGCCCCATTTACCACAATGTTAACTAAAATTTCAAAGTGATCCAGAATCCAGGATTTCTTACGGATCACCCCCAAAATGAAATCGGTTCTTCCGTTTCACATTTCCAACAAATCCTGAAAATTTCATCAAAATCGGTCCATAACTTTTTGAGTTATGTTGCTAACAGACAAACAAACAAACAGACAAACGCCGGCAAAAACATAACCTCCTTGGCGGAGGTAATAAAGTTAAAACGTCAACAGTTCGGGTTCAGCAGCGGTAGTCGACTTTAAACGTGATATTCATGTGGTACTGCAGCGCCGCCTTGTGGTTTTCCGATGAAGTGCACACAAAATATAAATAAACAAAAAATGTCGTTGAATGGTTCACGTTTTTCCTGCCTTATGAACAACAAATAAGTGCAGTTAAATGTTTTATTGTCCCCTAGACGTCCCTATTTACCGGGGACAGTCCCAGTTTTGAGCCCTGTCCCAGAGGATTTATGAAAAAACACTGATTTGTCCCAGTTTTATACAAAAAATGTTCCAGGTGTCCCTATTTTTGACCAATTTGATCCCTGTCACCAGTGAAGAGAGGCATAAATTGTCTTAAATTCAATAAACGTTTTGGAAAAGTCATTTAATTTTAGTATCTCTTTCACGCAACTACATCTTTCTGTTAAGTTCTCATGAGCCTATTATGATTATTTCCAAACTTCTGCACCTTTTGTTTAAAAGAGACGACAATAAATGCAGACAGAATTTTAAATGTAAAAAAAAAAAAAAAAAAAACTATAATCCCAAACCATAACATTTCATATTTTGCCCTAAAAACAGGATCAATTCTACACATTTAGGTGCCCTGAAGCTTTGGAAAGTTCACTTTAAGTCATGAAAAAGTGATGGAAAATTTTAGTAATTTTGTCAGTGATTAAGAGTGGAAACCCTGGTTAGAGAATTGACCAAAACAATAAATGAGTTTTAAAACTGATCCAATAAAGGCTGGCCTTTGTCTATAAATTACACACTTTGACTACAACTTATAAAAAAGTTCCGCTGACATCGTGAGAGGCCGTCATGTCTTTCGAACATGTGTAAAGCTGAGCCCAGTAAAACCATTACCAGGGGAACTCAATTACAAACCCAAAAGGTCCACTTACCAAATTTACATCCCCCTAAAGTAAAGACACAGTTTAAATTTTTGAATAAAATTTATCCAACCAATGAAATTCTAAAACAAAAATTCAAATTTGAGACAGGTCAATATGTGTTCTGTGACAGGGGAAGAAGACTTGGAACATCTTTTCTTTTCATGTAATTTGGTAAACAATTTTGGTCTGATTTTCAGTCGTTGCTTCAGTCCAGGGGAATTCAATTTGCCCCTCTAACCAAGAAAGGAATTTGGTATTAATAATGTATTGATTTTGGGTAAATATTTTATTCACACATTTAAGATAAAACCAAATATAACTCACTTTAGGAGAGACTTTTTGTTGACTCACCGAAGCTGATTGAAAGAAGTGAAGCTGGGTTTTTTGTGTCCTTTCTGAACAATGTTGATCAGAAGTTTTAGAATTGCCCCCTTAGTTTGTTCGTAAATGTGTTTTGTTTTTATTTTTTTCTTCACAATTGTTTAGATTTTTTTGCTATGTTTAAATGTGATCTTTGTGTGGTGCCTTTTTGCTTATATCTGGGTTCTGAAGTACTACCACTACTACTACTTTTACTACTACTACTACTTTTACTACTACTACTACTACTACTACTACTACTACTACTACTACCTTTACTACTACTACTACTACTACTACTACTACCAATAATAATAATAATAATAATAATAATAATAATAATAATAATAATAATAATAATAATAATAATGAATTTACAGTGTTTCCAGGGTCCCAAAACGTCACGGTGTATTTCCAAAACTTAGAACTTCTAACAATAAATGCTGTAAATCCACGTGGAACATTTTAAGTATGCACAAAGTACTAAATACTAAATACTCTACTAGATACTACAACTAGATAGATAAATACTAAATGCACGAACTAGATGGACACTTTACCAAATCTCAGTCGCTAGAGGGCGCTGTAGGCTCGTGTATCTGCTGCTCCCATTTCTCCTGTACCTCTGTCACTGCGCATGTCTCCCGTCGAGCCGCTGTTATGTTTGCATCACGTCAGTCGATCGCAACATTACTTCTACACCGCTGAACATTTAAAACAATAATCGAGCAGCAGAAAGAAAAGTTTGGAGGGAGCGCGAAACTTGTGAGGGACTGAAGAAAGGCGCGGACGGAAAACAGAGCTTCACCATAACGTAGAGAATGCGCCATGCAACTTTCCTGTAAGTCACTGGATGAATCGATAAAACCTGGACTCCAGTGACACCGAAACCGTCCTGTCGGGATTCAGAAAGACCAGAATAATTCTAACTGGGACTGACGCTGAGTGTGACGCACAGACGGTGGACTTACGCGAGAGTGACGTCACCCACAGTGTTCAGCGTCGCTCAAACGAGGCTCGCGATGCTCAAGGTTAGGCGCTATGTTATGAATAGGATTTTTTTTGCCGGACAAAATAGTGGAAAACTAAGTCAGGATCATGTAGAGCGAGTTAATACGAACATTTTAAGACCAAAATGACGAGGATGTTGCAGTTACAGAGAGAGAAGCGACAAGATCCTAATGTAAGCCAATTAGAGCCAAGGTGGCGAACTTCCTATTTAGCGCGTTAGCTACGTTAGCACTGAAATGTACATTTATGGTTTGACGAAAGCTACTCAAAAGTTACCTCTGGACATCGTGGAGTTGCTCTGAAATGACACCGAGGATGAAGAATTCAATGGATTGAGGTAAACTTGTTATGTTGTTTATGCTTTAGTTACCTGATTCACTTTATATCTTACATTAATAGCTAGCAGCATGTTGTTCTGTTGTTATTACTACAACTTAACCTTGAAGATGAAATGTGTACTCTTGGTCTCAGATTTTATCTAATACATTTCCCCCCAAAAAAGTGCGACTTATGTATACGTTTATGTCTTCTTCGTTATGCATATATATATATATATATATATATATATATTATTTTTATTTTTTTTTTTTTTTTTTTTTTTTTGATACGGAAACACATGCAAAAAGCACGTGCCAATGAAATATCGCGTGGATTCGAAACGCTATGAAAAAGAAAGAAAAAAAGCTAGAACAAGAGATTGTCTGGGTCCGAACGTCATTGCGTCATTGGTTTACGTTTGCTGTGTTTACGATCTGTGAGTTAAACTAAAGTCTGTGGAGATGCCGGGGATTGAACCCGGGACCTCATACATGCGAAGCACGCGCTCTACCACTGAGCTACATCCCCCATAATGCATTGCAGCGTAGCGGAGATTATTTAAAAACGGAGGAATATCTGGTGTGGGTCTTTGTCAAATGTTGGAGTTGAATAATAGAATTTTAAATTCGTCTTTTGTGTGGCGCCGGAACAACCGAATAAACGTTTTTCTCCAGAATCCCCTGAAGACTCGTGTCATGCCCGCTGTGTCCACGAGGGGTCGCCGCTCCCTCTGTTTTGCAGCAGCACGTGTTTTACGCAGGGTGACCAGATGTCCCAGAAAAGCTGCATAAAAATGACCAAAACTCAAAGGAAATGTGACTATAGAGACTCACATTAGTGCCGAGTGCAGAACAATTTTCTTTAATTACGTACTCGTTTCACAATTTTATTATTTTATTACTAGTCCCGGCTCCATCTGCACAGTTTGTTTGATTGTTTGGACATTCAGACACAGATTTATGTTTAGAGGAAGATTTTGTAGACATTTTTCCACTGTTTTAGTAGGTCTTTGTGCGTTTATATCATTTAATACTTATCCACTTAAACTAGAAGTGTTTTCAGTTTCATTTTTATAGAAATGTCACTATGTATCATGACGTAAGCTGCGATGGCCGAGTGGTTAAGGCGTTGGACTTGAAATCCAATGGGATCTTC